TGACTCACCCCACCCCCAGCGTCCCGGTGCTTAATCCCACAGGAAGTGAAGGCATCTGTCAGCAGCAGCTGCCACTGGGAGTTGGCCCCACGTGGCTGGCCCGCAGGGTGGGGACCTGCACCAAGCATGTTCCAGGCCCCAGGAACCCGGGGTTCTGGACTTGCTGAGGATCTGAGGTGTGTCGGTCCACCCTCTCGATCCCACGTGGAAAACCAAGGAGGAGTCTGTCCTGCCCACACACACCTCTCCCCAGGGCCCGAGGACAGCAGACACCCTGCCCCAGCCCCTCACCTGTACGTCGAGACCTGGTGCAGATCAGAGGGCGCCAAGCGGTAGCCACACTCCTCCCAAGCCTCCTTGCACACCACCTCCTCCAGCGAGAGCCCCGGCTGATCCACAAGGCCAGCACACAGCTCAACTGTCACCCCGGCTGAGCCAGGCAGCATGGGCTGCAGTTCCCGGGGCTGGTCCTGGTCCACATCTGCCAGCGACCCTGGGAAGCGGCGCTCCACCTCACCTGCATACACAGCTGGCGGGGGAGGACACTGCCATGCCGTGGTTACCCCCAGTGACTGCTGGGAGCCTGACCCTCTCACCAGGCCTCAGTGTCTCCTGGAGGTCCCCACACCTGCACGCAGTCCCTCAACTGGAAGTGCCCTACCGATCCCTCCTCCCCACCTCCCACCCAGCTGGCCTCACCTGGCCGGAACTGCTTCACCAACACCAGGCTCCTCTGAGAAGAGTTGAACAGGAGAATGGTCACGCTGTGTGGGGGCGGGGAGCTCAGCACACAAGTGGCCCCACCTCCCCTCCCTGGGGGACCTGGTTCCCATCCTCCTATCCCCAGCATGCCCCCTCCCTCTTCCCAGCAGCCCAGAAAAGTTGGCCCCTTGCTCAGATGAGGAGACTGAGGCCCAKCAGGGCCAGACTTGCTAGGGATACATGGTGAGGCCGGGACCTGGACCTACTGTATTCTGGCTAGCGGGAAAGGGGACAGGACATGCTGGGCAGCTCACTGTGTCAGGAGGGGCGTGGAGGCCGGGTGACTGACAGGACACTTGGCCCCTGCTAGCTGGCTACATGACTGCCACACCCCTCAGGCCACCTACATCTCCACCCAGGCTGCACCCCAGTGCTGGGGCAAGGACACCAGGCTGGCCTCCCAGGGACAGGATCGCCAAAGGCGGGCCTGAGGGAAGGGTGACTGAAGACCATGGGGAGGGCAGAAACTAGGGGTGGGGTGGGCCCCCAGCCCAGGGCTCCGGTGTATCCAGAAATTCCCAGCCACCAGGCCAGGCCCTCACCTGTCATGGGTCTTCATGAAGTCCCACGACTTCTGGACACCATTCTGAAAGAGGCAGGGCAGCAGTCAGGAGGGCCAAGTGCTGCCAGCATGGATGGAGGCCCTGGGAGCTGAGGCCACACAAAGCCACTCCACAGGGCAGCRACACCCACTCCTGGCAGGGAGCCCTGCCCACAGCCTGGCCCACGTGAGCTAGGAGCCTCGGTGGGTGGGGAGGAGGTCAAGGGCAACCTGATCTCCTGAGGGGCAAAGGGCAGAGAGATGTCCCAGGGGCACCAGGGGCTGCAGAGGTGGACACTGTCACGGGTGTGGGGAGCATCAGAATCCAAGAAGGGCCAGGTGACACCTCGGAGTCAGGGCAGAGACGACCCCATGGAGGCACAGCAGAGGCCAGGTGTTCATCACTGAGGCTGGGCTACTGGGAAGYGGAGACAGGAGGCAGGAAGGCCGGCTGGTCTCCTGAAAGGAGCCCAGCCCCCAGAGCAGCTGGGCTGTAGAGAGATCCCGCTGCAGAACTGACTTGCGGACGGTGGCTGGAGAGTGGGACATCCTTCCCCACCCAGCTCTGGCTTGGGCTGTATCTCACACATCCCACAGTCCTGCTTCCCCACAGGAAGGCTCCCAGTGTCCAGCAGAACACAGTGGATAGAGGGGCTGAAGRGACAGGGACTGGACCCAGCAGACTGGGCCCACAGGGCAGCCAGAATTGACGCCAGTGGGTTGAGTGTGAGAGGCCCAGAATACCACCACCTGGACACCACTAGGCAAGATGTTCTCCCCCTGGAAGCTGGGGTGGCCAGTGTCCATTCCTCCCAGGGGTCTCTGCTCATGGGGCCAGACCTGAACCCTGCCCATGACTGTCCATCCCTGGCCTGCTTGGCCCACCTGCCACTCAGCCTCTGGGTCAGCCCCAAGGCCCTGGCCAGCCCAGGACAGATGATGGAGCTCTATCCAAGCTGTTGAACTGTGGTCAGGGTTAGGGTTAGCTCCAGAAGGGCGGGCGCACCCTGTGAGGACTTCCTACAGGAGGCACGGGAGGGAGCGGGCACTCCGGTCAGGGAGCATCGCAGTAGAGGCCCAGAGGAGGCAAGCAGGCCAGATGAAGCCGAGCTACAGGCAGAGGTGTCGGGAGGGGCGTGGCATCAGGTTTCCAAGGAGAGGGGAGGGCCCACTTCCTGTGCAGGTCAGGCTGTCCCAAAGGTGGCTGAGGCACCACCCACAGGCAAGCCCAGGCCTGCTCAACGTCTGGCCACCCAGGGCCAGCTTCCCACCCAGGTAGGCTCCAGTGAGGGCCCCCCGCAGCCTACAGTGAGCCTTCAGTGCCTACACCTGTCATGGCCTTCCTGTGGGTAAATGTTGCCCTGTGTAGGTCTCAGGGACCCTCTCGTCTGAAGATCAAAACTGTCAGACCCTCAGGTACAGCAAGGTACAGGGGAAGGTCCAGAGAGACCCACTAAGACCCTGGGAGGGAGGGACAGGCCAAGGGTATAAAGGCAGTCCCAGCCTCTTGAGGGCCAAGGTTTCCCCTGCTTCTGGTTCACTTTATCTGTCCACCAGGCCTCCCCTGGCCAGGTGAAACAAACAACCATGGGTTGTAGCTGTCCCCATGGTGTCCCTTGGCCTCTGAGGGAGTGCCGCCTGGTCCCCCATATCACACCCACAGCCTGTCCCCTGTTCAGGTCAGCTCTGGTTATCAGACTCTCAGTGGAAATATGCTGATGGGCAGCCCCCCAGGGGCCACACCACAGCTTTTCCTGGGAAGGTGGAGAGACATCTCTGGCCATCAGCCACAGCTGGACCATGCCTGGACCACCCTGTACCCACTCACTGCCTACAAGGACCCTTGGGGGGCTGAGCAGCCACAACCAAGCACCCTCATATCCACCAGCCTCTCTGCCCCAGGCCAGCAAACGGGAAAAGAACAGAAATCCATGTCCCCACCACGTTTGTCCCTTGACTGGCCCCAGCTGCTCCCCCAGACCTGCAGTGTCCTTGGCTTCACCCTGGAGAGTGGAATTCCCTGTCCTCTGGAGCCATGGGACCACCACAGCAGGGAAGGGGAGGGCCGGGGCCTCTCAGGCTGGGCTAGGCAGAAAGGCCACACAGGGCTGGCAGGAAGCAGGCACCGGGATGAGATGGGAGGGACACGGTGTGAATCCATGGGCCAGGCKGAGGGACACCAGGGGTGGTATTGGCTGAGGCTGGGAGGGCAGGGGCACAGAGGAACAGCACAATGGTAGCAGGCAGGGCAAGCAGGCAAATACAGTGCCCATCTGGATGGGCCCAGGCACTGGCCGATGATGAGGAGGAAGGTGGCCAGGTCTGGGTAAGGGAAGACAAGGGCATGGGCTACTCATCCACCCACCAAGTGTGAGCCTACTATGTGTCAAGAGCGGTAAGTGCAGCCATGCTGTGGGGGTGATGCTGGGGAGGGCAGAGGTGCCTTCCCTGTGAAGACCCCTGGGAGCCCACCTTGAGAGGCTCCCTTTTCTGCCTCCTCCCTCCCAGCCTTGGTGCTCCAGGTTCCTTCCTCCTCTGCCCAGTTATCTCCTCCTTCCAGTCTTAGCCGGAGGGCCACCAACTCCGGGATGCCTGCCCTGACTTTCAGGGCGACCAGTGAGTCTGACTGCAAAAAGGGACAGGTGGGCCAGGCGGGAAGGCAAAGCTCCTTTGAAGGGGTGAGCGTTCACGTGCCAGGGCCGGCCCCCGAGGCGGAGCCTGGGGTGGGGGTGGGCCCGGGGGCGTGGTCTCTGTGGGCCGGAGCGGGGCGTCACGGAGGCGGGGCGAGCCGGCGGCGCGGAGTGGGCCGGCGGGTGTCGCGGGGGCGCGGGGGCGCCGGGGCGCGGAGCGGACTCACCTGGCGGTAGTGCAGCGTGAGCGGCCGCATGTAGGAAGAGCTGGCACAGCGGCCCACGGCCACCCCCTCGATGCGCTCCATGGCGGCGCGGGGCAGGTCCGGCCCGGGCTTCCGCGGGGCGAGGAGCTCTCCCGTCGGGAGCTGGCGCGCGCGTGACTGTGGCTCTGGGCATGCCCAGTGCGCGCGGGGCGGGCCTTGGCCCCCAGGTAGCACCTACCAAGTGCCGCACGCGGGCGGGGCGCTGGTCGTCCAGGCGCTCCGCTRGCCGCGCGGAGGGTGTGAACCCGGGAAGGACTCGCCAGCAGACCTCGACCGCTGCCCGCTGCGTGGGAGCGTGCGGGCTGGGGCGCGGCGTGCGGGTGGTACTTTGGGGRGAGGAAGGGAGGGAGCGGAAGGCCTGAACCTGGGGGGAAGTGAGCCCTGGGATGCCTGCCCTTCTGGGGTCTGTGACAACCCCATGATTAGGTCGTCCTAGGGCGGAGCAAGGGCGGCAGCCCTCCAGGAGCAAGAATGCTGGGCCCTGGCAGAGAGTTACCGGAGCCCGAGGTCTGGGCAGCCTCGTGGAGCCAGGAGGGAGGACCGGGTGAACCCCGTAGGGGAAAGTGTAGACACCCCTCAGCCATTCGTTGGAAGGAGGGCTCTGAGAGGACTGGAGGAGAGGTGAAGGGACTGGGGTGGAGTAGGGGGCCCAGGCAGAGCCTGGCTGTCTCTCCTCCAGATTCCCAGAAAAAGGAAGTGGCCTGGGCCGACAGTCCACCTGCTGCTTCTGGGAGGAGTTGCYGATTCCTGTCTGTCTCTGGGGCTGTCCCGCCAAGCATAAGCCGGTTGCTGTTCCCGCTCCAAGAAGTCCCACCCTTCCAACAGCCTCCAGGCAACTGGAATTCTTCCCTGGACAGACCACATGTCACCACTGCCTTCCCAGGGCCAGGTTAAAACCACTGGGTGGTGGAGCTGAGGACCTTTGCTATTGACACGGTTCTTTGAACCGTGTCTTGGGGTGGGGGAGTGGCCATGTGGATTTTAGATTGATTCCCAGGTCCCTGTTAGCTTTTGCTCCCCAGAACTTTAGAACTTTAAAGCACTGTGTCCCTCCTACTCTGTGAATTACCACAGCTCCCCTAGTCAGCTCTGCTTGGGGTCTCTGCAGTGGCAACCAGGTGACAGCTGGATCTGGAGTCTTCTGAAGGTTAAACCAGGGTGGGCCATCCTCAGGTAGGTGGCATGTRGCCTTCCCGGTGGCTAGTTGGGGCTTCCCCACTGCATGGATTCTCCATGGTATCTTGCTCCCCCTGGCATGTGTGTGTCAGGCCAGGCAGAACTGTTAGACTTCTATGACTCGGTGTCCAGTGTCATGTAGAATCATTCTCACTGTGTCCTATAGGTCAGAAAGAACATTCTGGGCCACCACCTTTCCAAAGAAAGGAAATGTCACAAAGTGGGACCCGTGATCATCCTCTGTGACTGTAGGGGACTGTGTTTTCCAGCTTTGGCCTGGCCAGCCTAGTGTCCTGAAGGGCAGAGAGACCACACACCAGTGAGCCCCTCCCAGAAGCTGGCCCACCACAGCTGGGCAGGCCCAAGCAGGTAGGCCAGGGCAGGTGGCTGAGCAGGTGGCCCCAGCCCATGAGACCAGGCCCTCTGCCTCCGGCCTTGGTCTGAGCTGCAGCTGGAAGCTCTGTGATTTGTCTTCAGGATTGGAGCAACCACAGGCAGGAAGTGCCTGTGCTAGAGTGAGACTCCCCAGCCCTGCAGTGGCCATTGGCTGTGGCATGCTGAATTCCGACTCCTCTCCCAGAAACRACAGCATGTGGCCTTTTCAGGGCAGGCAGAACGTTTTCCAGGTAGATATCTGGTCCATCTCTAGGGGCTTTGGATACCTTGTCTAGGGCGTGTTTAGAGGTAGAGACAGCACCTGGTGGGACAGAAGGACCCTCTGTAGGTTCCTATGGGTACATGCTGAGACAAACTTCTGCAGACTCCGTGGCTTACAGCCTCGCAGCTCTGGAGGGCAAGATCCCAGGTAGGGTGTTGGCAGGGCTGACCCCGTCTGGTGCCCCAGGGATGTGGCATTCCTTGCCCTCTGCAGCTTCTACAAGCACCCCCACTCCTGACACTTGCTGCCCCTTCCCGTCTTCAAAGCCAACAGCAGGTGTCTCTGTCCTTCCACTTCCACCCCTTATCTTCTGACCCTATAGCTCCCTCTTCCAAGGATTCTGATAACCAGGGCCACCCCATCTCAGGGTCCTCACTTCATCCCATCTGCAAAGTCCTTTTTGCCATGTGAGGTCCCAGACCACAGGTTCTGGGAACAGGTGTGGACACACAGCAGGCACACACTGGGAGAGATGGCACCACAGCCAGGGCAGAGCCCTGGGTCCTGAGGGTCCAGGATCTGCAGGTCTGCAGGACACTGATGCTTTCCTTTCTATATAAGGGGAGTGGGGCAAGTTCCCCTGCAAAGGATGGGGTGGGAGGGAGGGAGGGATTCAGAGTGGTCCCAGGGTGAAGAGGGTAGAGGCAAGGGAGGCTGGGGTCCCAGKAAGCAAGGCCTCTGGTGACACCAGGCTTTTGGGCAATGTCCAGCAGCCTGTCAGGTAAAGAAGTTGGCAGCTGGGTGCCTGGCAGGCTGGGGGGTCTGGAGAATTCAGTATGCCACCCTGGGAGCTGCCAGCAAGAGGACCAGGTGAGGGGGTGGGGGTGGGAAGGGGGACTGAGGGAGYGGTGACCCTAGGGCACAGAGGCTCCCCACATGGCATTGGGCAGGGCTGGGCTGCCCTGCAGGTCTGGCTTTAAGAGGCCCAGCCTCAGTCCTCCTGTGTGCCAGGCATGTCAGAGCAGGCCCCTGAGGGACAGCATCCTCAGCCACCCCCAAGTGCCATTCCATGCCAYGCTGGAGCCTGGTGGCCAGCTCCCACCAGCACAGACAGGCTCCAGAGACCTCCCTCCACCAGCTCCCGGGGATTGCCTTCCCAGCTCCCACATGAGACCCTGGGCCTGGGTCTCAGTGGGAATGGGATTAGCAGCTGGTGACCWTGCGTGAGACACACATTTGGGGCCCCTGGCCTGCCTGAGAACACTTGTTATGCCTCATGCCGGGTAGAGGCTGGGCTGGTGCTGACCTCTGATGGAGGCCACTTCCCATCGGCAGCCAGAGCAGCGCCTTCTGTGCCTCTCCTGCAGGGGCTGCTTTGGCTCTCAAGTCATTCTGGGCCTCCTGTGGACTGGATATCTGTCTGGAAAATGTCCTGCCTGCACTGAAAAGGCCACGTGCTGTCTGTGGGCACCTTGCTGTGTCTGCTTGACTGTCGTCTCTGGGAGAGGAGTTGGAGAGGCACCCTGGAGAGGCACAGCTCTGTCAAGGTCTGGACTCTGCCTGCTGCTGTTCCCGTTCAGACAGGAACAGAGCTTCAAGAGGCTGAGTGCCTGGGCGGTGGGGGCATCGTTGTCACTCCTGTGGCTTTGGTCACCAAGTGAACAAAAACCCCTCTGGGAGCCGGGCACCATGGCCCACGCCTGAGGCAGGAGGACTGCAGGTTGGAGGCCAGTCTTAGCAACTTAGCAAGACCCTAACAACTTAGCGAGACCCCTTCTCACAAAGTAAAAAGGGCTGGGGGTGTAGCTCAGTGTCGGGAGCACCTGTTTTGATCCCCAGTGCCCCCCACAAGACTGTAGTGCCCATCAACAGGTGGAGGGGTGTCTTGGCTTTTTTGCTGCTGTGACTAAAGGGCCTTGACCAGCACAACTAGAGGAGGAGAAGTCCATCTGGGGCTCACRGTGTCAGAGGCCTCAGACCAGAGACAGCAGGCCCCACTCCTYGGGGCTCAAGATGAGGCAGGACCTCTTGGCCCAAGAGTGTGGCCCAGGGAAGCAGCTGACCCGTGACCAGGAAGCAGAGACTCCTCTCTCCAGATACAAAATAGAGACCCAGGGCCACCTCCCAGCCACAGCCGCCACTTAGTCACCACTCAGTTAACCCCCCCAGGGGGTTGACTCTCTGGTGAGGCTCCCCCAGCCCGGTCCTGTCTCCTCTGACCTTCCTGCATTGTCTCGCATGGACCCTTGGGGGACACCACTCAGCCTTAAGCCACTGGGTTTGGCACAGTATGGTGCCTGTGAGGATGTGGGCTGAGTGGAATGGGCTAGTCACTCAGAGCCATACCCATAGGATGTACTAACAGGTGTCCCCAGAGTGCTCAGTCACAGGGACCAGGGGTGCAGGGGCCACGGGGTGGGTGTTATCACTTCATGGGGACAGAGCTTCGGGTTAGGAAGATGAAAACGTCCTGGAGGCAGATGGTGGCGGTGCTTGATGTGCTTAAGGCCACCGAGCTGTTCACTTGAAAATGGTCCCAGCAGACATGTGTGGATGCCTGTCATCCCAGCAACTAGGAGGCTGAGGCAGGAGGATCACAATTCCAGGTCAGCTGGCAACTTAGTGAGGCCCTGCCTCAAAATAAAAAGTAACTCACTGATAAAGCTCTTGCCTGCTATGCTGGAGGCCCTGGGTTCAAATCCCAGTAGTGGGGGGAAAATGATCAATGATTTTGCATTTAACAAAATAAAGACTCCTCAGGAACTGTTAGTAGTGGCTGACTCCAGTTAAAGAGCCTTGCTTTTCTCTCTCTCTCTCTCTCTCTCTCTCTCTCTCTCTCTATATATATATATATATATGTATGTGTGTGCCTCCCACATGCTAGGCAAGCACTCTGCCACTGAGCCACGGCCCCGCCCCCAAGAGCCTTACTTTATTATTTTTTTTTAATTTTTATTTTTTTAATATTTATTTTTTAGTTCTCGGCGGACACAACATCTTTGTTGGTACGTGGTGCTGAGGATCGAACCCGGGCCGCGCGCATGCCAGACGGGCGCGCTACCGCTTGAGACACATCCCCAGCCCAAGAGCCTTACTTTATATCTTTTATTTTATTTATTTTTATGTGGAGTTGAGGATGGGACCCAGGGCCTCGCATGTGCTAGGCGAACGCTCTACGCTGAGCCCCAGCCCAGCCCCTTACATCATAGTACTGTTGTAATTTTGCTGTGGCATGTATCACTCTTTCAATTTTTTTTAAAAAAAGAAACTTTAAAAAAATGCCAAAGATGATAATTTTTTTATTATATGTATTTCACAAGAATTAAAGATTGGGGGGATATGCGAGGTGCCACTGCCTAGGCACGGGCAAGGGTGGGCTGTGGGCCAGACCTGGGGGAGGGGCCTGGCGGGGGAGGCTGCGCTGTCTGCCAGGGGCCTCTGTGGGGCTGCAGGACAGGTGGAGGCCCCAGGCAGAGCCCTGGGGAGAGATGGGGAGGGACACACTCTGGGCTTCACGGTGTGTTCCAGAGGCTTCCAGACCTGCCTTCAGCTGCACCAAGCCCTTGTGGCAGGGGGAGGGTCTGGCTTTTCTTCAGCTTCCTTCTTGTCCACTCATCTGTGGTCCTTAGAGTGACGCTAGGGTGCAGAAGGATGGGACCCAGCCCTTCGCCCACCCAGCTGCTCCRGGCTCTGTGCCAGTCTTGGTGGGGTCTTGCTGCCACTCCGCCCTCGGGCACTGCTGTCCGAGTGGTGCTGGAGGCCCTTTCCCTGCTCTGTCTTCAGTGATGGGGGCACCCTACTACCATCTGCTCTAGGTGGGGTCCCACAGCATCCGTCTGGCTGGAGCTGATCTGCACCTGCTGAGGCTCTCTGGCCCTCAGGGCCTCCCTGGGCAGCAGCCTCTGTGGGGCCAGGCACTGGGTCCTGTCTGCCCATCTGCCAGCCTKCGTGTTCCAATCTTGGGGACAGTTCTCCCCGGGTCTCATCTCCTCGGTGGGTCTGTAACCTTTCTGTCGTTTCAGGGAGGTCTGGAGACACCAGAGGGCCTGTGGGTCTCTGTCAGGAGAACTCAGGCACCATCCTTCTGACAGGGTGGCCCAGAGTCAGGAGCCCTGAATGCCAGGTCAGGACTGGAGGGCAGAACTCRGAGGCCATGTGGCCACCGGGATACACGTGGCATGCTCCCCCACCCTGACACTCTGGCCCCACTGGGAGCCTGCCCAGTTGGCAGAGGGGTGCTGGAGCAAGGAGCCTGCCCACTTGACCCTCTCGCCGCCCTCACCCTGCACTGCCCCAAGCATGTTAGGGTGGCTGTCCCTGCCCTTTGGAGAGGCTGCCTAGGTCCTCTCAGCAGTCCCCAGGAACAGGTGAGCACCTGAGTGGTGTCATATCACAACCCTCACCACCTCCCCCTTGTGGGAAGTCCTCKGGAGAGGGCTGGGGCCATATGAGGGCTGCCTGCCCCCCATGTTCATGGAGCCCAGTCTCGCTGGAGGGGCTTGTGCAGGCTCAAGTCCTACGGAGCCGAGGGCTGGGCTCCAGCCCTGCACCACCTCAGGCCGATCAGCCCCCACTTCCGAGGGCACAAGCCTTGTGGATATGCAGTGTCTCCCAGGGCCGGTGACTGGACCAAGACCCCACATTTCCAACCTCCAGGCGCCCTTGGGTCTTGAGGGGAAGCCACTCATCCCATTCCAGAGTGGGCCCACCCGGAAGGCGCTAGCCATGAACAATGCCTTCGTGTGGCCGGTTCTCCCCCGCAAGAGAAAACASTTTGACAGAATAGAGTTTCCTGCGTTTGTGCCTCCACTGAGGGGTGATTCACGCAGAGACCTCCCACGGAGGCACAGCCCTGCCAAGCCCCCTCGTCCCTGAGGCCCAGGGTGCAGCCCAAACACAGGCATCATCTGGGCTGTCAGATGGCATGGGGGACTTCCTAGAGGAGAAGGCCTGGCTCTAAGGGCCATCAGCTGCCCGGAGCCTGTGGGGAGGTTGGGGAGAGATTCTCAGGTGACAGAGGAAGGACCATCCTGCGGGGGCCACACTGACGGTGCAGATGCCAGGGGGTTTGGATGGCACATGGCCCTGGACAACCCAGGTGGTCAGTCCAAAGGATGTCTGAGTGTGCAGGGGCAGTGACGGTCCCTCATGGCAGAGGGACCTTGAGGCATCTCAGGAAGGAGCTGGCACCTTCACTCTAGGACAGATGTGTGCTAATGCCAGTGATCCTCATTCAGCCTCTATAGCTCTACATATGGGCCTGGACGGCTACTGCCCTGCCACCCCATGTCCTAGGAGACAGCCTTGCTCTGCTTTCCCGCTCAGCAGCACCTGTCCCATCAGGCCACTTCCCAGGTCTCTACTTCAACCTTGGTTTAGTCCCCAGAGCTGAAGGGTTCATGATGCCTGCAAGGCAGCCCCTGGACCACCTGCAGCCCACTGCCTCTCACCCCTCGGCCTTGGGCCAGCCCCGCCTGCTGCCCTGCGTCCCTGGTCTTCCCTCTGGGCCTTGCTTTTGGCTCCCCCATTCTCCCATCCCTACTCCGATGGTAGGTCCACACCTCTCCTGGCATCACCTCACTAGGGCAGCTGCCCAAGGTGCTCAGGGCCACGTGGACTCTGGCCCTCTTGCCTGCCTGGGGGCTAGAAGCCAGTACTCTGTCATCCCCTCTCCTTTTAGGATCCTGCCCTGTGGTTTAGACTCTCCCTGCTTCTCCCATCTCTCCTGCATGGGACCGATGTGGCTTCTTCTTCTCAGAACACAGGAGGTTCCAGTTCAGCCCCCCACTGACCTCTTTTGGATCTTGTGATCTTCATCAGCTCATGCCAAGGGCTTCCTTGCCCAGTTCACAGGCACCAGTGTGATGCAGCTCCCCGCCTCTCCCTGAAAGGGCCAAGTCCTTTACAAGCACCCACTGCTACTTGTCAGTGGCCCCCTAGGCTCAGTACTGTGCAGGGTACTGTCACTTGATGCCTCCTTCCATCTGCACAAACCTCACACCACGGATGAGGTAAGGAGGCTCAGAGATAGAGAAGACGTGAGCTGGGCTAGAGGGCATCTGAGTGGGCACTGTACACGAGATTCTGGTGGATCCCAGATGTGCTCTGCCTCTTGAGCTGGGGTGCAGAAGAGCTCCTACTCACCCTCTGGGAGAAGTCCCAGTCCCCTTGCAGGCTTGCCCCATGACAGGCTCCTGCAAGAGCCTGGGTAGGAGAAGAAGGAGGCCAGGTCTGTCCAGCTTCTATAAGCCTTGGCTGTGGTAGTGTCAGCCACAGTGGTGACAGGCACTATGGCAGCCATGATGGCAGTGACAGCAAGAGGAGGCTCCCCCTTTCCCAGCCACAGGGACACAGGTAGAACACAGCAACCTTGGGTCTGGTGACAGCTCCCCCTGTCTCCTCTGGCCTCTGTGGCAGCTACAGCCTGAGCTCCATTTCACTTCTGGTAGCCTGGCTCTCTACAAGTTCCACCCACCTGTCCATGCCCTTGGAGACCAACTCCTCATATTAAATTCCTATTTGAAATGCCTGTTGTGGTTTCTCTTTTCTCATTGAGTTGGACTGAAGGAGGGGAGAGTTTGCAGGGCAGGCACCTCAGGGCTATAGAGAAAATGGCAAGAGGGGAGGGCTGGAGGCCTCCACCTATGGGCCTGGGCCTAAAAGTGGGCAGGGGTAGTGACCTGTCCTGTCCCTACTGCTGGCTGGCCTTGGGTGCCAACATGAGGATCAATGGGCCAGGCTCCTATCTCCCACTGT